ATCCGTCATCATGATAATATTCGACCACACAAGTGCCACACCTGTAACAAAGCATTTGTCAATGTGGGAGATCTCTCAAAGCATATCATCATTCACACAGGTAAGATGCAATTTTTTTTGTATAATTGAGTCTTTTCTTATGTAGTTCTCTCTTATGTGCTCATAATTCTTGGTTACAGGGGAGAAACCATTCCTGTGCGATAAGTGTGGCCGAGGATTCAACCGTGTGGACAATCTGCGTTCCCATGTGAAGACTGTGCACCAGGGGAAGGCGGGCATGAAGAGACTGGTGATGACTGAAGAGGATGATGACGAGGAGGAGGAGAAGCTGCTGTCTGACTCTGGCCCGAGCTCAGAGCTCGACAATAATGAAGTCAACATTGTCACTGTTACGACAGATGACATTGTAACTTTGGCCACAGAGGCTCTGGCTGGCAGTGCCGTAGCACAGCTCACTGGTGAGAGAATATGACAGAGGAGTGTGATAAAACTGATTATTACACTGTTCCTTGTAGAAAGGTGGTTTTAAGGGCTTATACTAAATCTGAGTGTCACCGTAATGGCACTTGGATGGTCCCCTAATATTATTTGTTGTTCTTGACCCTTGTAGTGTTGCCAGTGGCAACCTCTGTGTCTGCAGATGAAACTGAAGCACTGAAAGCAGAGATCACAAAAGCAGTGGAGAAAGTCCAAGAAGCAGGTGAGTAATACATAATTTATATACTGTATATATTAGTGCTGTCAACTAATTAATTGCACATTTTTATTACTTGCACCTAGCTGGATAATTTGTAAGATCTTGTAATACATAATTTCACATTGAAACTCAAAGATGGTATTTTTTAAATAATTGTGTAATGACATCTTTTTAGAAAACTATCCAATACTGCTTCTGATGTCTCTATTAAATAGATTTTCCCTCTCAGTTTCTGGGGTGAAAATGAGTAAAGGTTATTGTTTACCATGTTTTTTAAGGAATAAGTTTATGTAACCAACATTTTGCATACCAGTGAAATTTCTCAAAAAAAATAAATAAATAAATAAATAAAAAATAATTTGAACTTCAAACATTCTTTTAAGGCAAGTAAACAGTCGTTAATAAAGCAAGAACAAATACACAAAGTACAAGTGATAGCACAAATTAATACAAAAGAACATATAGAAATGAAAATGAAAACAATGAAATAATGAGTTTTTCCAGGTACAGTACTCAGCAGCATTAACTCTGAAAGTTAACAAATTCAGCAATCACTCTTTATAATGTAATGTTCCAGCAAGTCTAATTATTAAATGTTTAATTATTAAAGAAGCATATAGATATTAATCAGGAAAAAATTTTCCTATTAAAGTGATAAAATGTTGTTTTGTAAAAATGAGTACACCTTCCAGAAAGTTATGAAATAAAACTAAATACAAATTTACTGGTGCAAGTTAAAGGCGTTTTTTGATCAACAGTTGAGTGTGTTGAACCAAAACATTTAAATAAGAGTAATTTCTTAACAAAAAGTGCTATATTGAATCATTCTCAGACTTATTTCTTTGGACACAAGAGGATTACCATTTTAAGTGCGAAAATATAGCAAAAGTAAGAAAATATAGCAAAAAATATATAAAAAGCAAGTCCATTCTTTTAAAAAGAATGGACTTGTGACAAAGTCCTTGAAACAACCAGGCAATCACTTTAAACTTTAAGTTTGTGATGAGGGATTTTTTGGTTAAGAAAAGAGCGGGAGAAATGACAAGCAAATGTCTCACAGCTGGCAAAAGCTGTGAGAAAAGAGAAGAGTGATTTCATTTCGCACAGTAATACGCTACATGAAGAAGGGAAATGCATTGTTCTTGTCCACACAGGACACAAGAAATTCATATAATCTTTCCCAAGGTCCATATTAACAAAAAATAGACTTCTGATCTATAAAAAATCAATACTCTGGTCTCATGAGAGCAAATCAATCATTTGGGATCTAACAGCATCCAAAATGAGTGACATGGCAAGGGGGAGAAGTGAGACGTACCTGGGCTCTAGAGTCCTGAATGAGTGGGGGTGTTGTACTTAATTAGTGGTGTCATGAATTCACACCATGATGTGATACAAAATCTTGAAATGGACGATTCTACCTTTTCCTTATTCCCTTTGTTTTTTGGGGGGCATTTTTTTTAACACGAGAATGACTATGTACATTCTCCCTCCAGGGAACAAGTATTTCACCCAACCTTTACACACTGTTGGGCACCTGTGGGTGATTTTGTAAAGGCAGGTTGAGCAACACTCCAGGGCACTCGGGCAGGTTATCCATCCAGGAGTTACATAGATGTGAACATTTTTCATGAACTTGTACACTCAATGCAAAGCTGAAACAGTGCGCTGATCTATTCCTGCAGATCCCAACACCCAGATCTTGTATGCGTGCGACTCATGTGGTGAGAAGTTCCTGGATGCCAGCTCTCTCGCCCAGCACGTGCGCATTCACACTGCCCAGGCTCTGGTCATGTTTCAGGCAGACTCTGACTTTTATCAGCAGTACACTGGAGACGGCACATGGCAAACAACTGAGCAGGTCATCCAGGGAGGGGAGCTCTTGTTCCGGACACGGGAAGAGGAGAGTGAGGAAGGAGAAGTTGCTATTGTCCAGGCTGAATCTCAAACTGAGGGGGCAGTGGAGGAGACCAGTTCACAGGCTGAGAGAGAGGAGGGGTCTGAAAACCATGGAGAGTGAGGACTTTCTGACCTGATTCAACCCAAGGAGAGTTAAAAGGACAGAGAGATCCACGTGGAGTTTTAGACTGTCACATTGTAAGTGTAATATTTCTCACCAGAGGGATGGTTATTACTGGTTAACACACTATAATTAAAAACGCTCAAATTTTAAAAAATGCTAGGTAGATGTTATATCTCAAACCACAGCACTCTGTGCAGCGCTTATTAAAACTACATTGTATAGAGTTAAGTTTAAATAAAAAAGAAGACAAGAAAGAAAAATTTAATTTAATTTAATATGAACAAAGTTTGATTTGTAATGCTGTTAAACCTTTTAATACTGTTGTCTCCCTGTTTATGTTCTCTGCCAGCTCATTTATTCACACTATTGTAGACTATTTTAATGAGCCCAATTAAACAATTGACTGTCCCGCAAGTTTCTTTTTTTTTTTTTTAACAAATCAGCTACCAAACTTTTATTTGATTAATTTATTTGTGGTTTGTAGAGTTTACCCATTTTCCACTTGATCATAGTACTGCTTGAACATTATCTTTTTTTAAATGCATTGTGTTCTAGATAATGGACTGTAAAAAACTCTTGTTGCTTTTGATCTGTGACGTGTGTTGCAATTAAGCTACTATTTTTGAATATCACAGCTTTCATTGTCAGATTATATAAACTAGTATTATGAGTGATCACAGTAATGTTGGTCCAATTCTGTTTGAGTTTATCGAACAGACAATTGAATATTGTATCACTTTTAGATACAATATAAATTAAGCCAAATTTATAGTGCAAAACACAGGAAAATGTTGCAATTTAATGGTTTAATAAATCTGTATTGCCTGGTATTGAATACATGTTTATACTATTGACAGGAAAGCAAGGCTACTGGTTGTTCACCCTAATTTAATTTTTTGAGATTTTGATTAGAGCTTTAAAAATCGAATCAGTTTCGAAACAACATTACTTGGATTACATTACAATGCATTTTGTTGAATGTAGACAGCAGGTATCAGAGGAATGGGTGCTTTTCTGTTTTAAAGTGTGGTTATTTTCAGTAAAAGGCTTACAGTGGCAGTGATTGCAGTTGTTTTATGTGTCATAGCTCACTGAGCTTTAGATTTTATATTTAAAAATATACATTTATTTGTCCCACTTTTTACTCCAGTCAGTGAATATTTATCGGGTTTTTATTTTCTGTATAGGAACAATCCCAGGGATGAAGAAGGTGGTTCAAGTTGATTCAAATATAACTTGATTTAATAACATAAAGAAAACTCAGGCAATGTATTAACAATGAGGACAAGCAAAACCTTAAGGGACAATGACTGTGAGAAACAAAGAAATTTATAAACACAAGGTGATGACCTGCAAACTAGAACAAAGCAAACAAATAAATGAAGACAAAAAAATCCACAAAAGTCCATAAAAAAGAAATTAATACTAACTAATTGTGACGCATGCCTTGATAATTTGTGCCATTATTTTCCAAAGATTAAATTTATTGACACTATGACACGGTTAGACAAGGCCAGGATTAGGCCTTATAGTTCAATTAGGGCATTAAAAAAACATTACTGGTGTGCATCTTGACACAAAAACAAGAGCAAGTTACTTTAAGTAAAAACAGCTCAAACATGCATTTTAGTTCGGGAGTCGCTTCACCCTCGTGTGAGTGTGTGTGTGAAACTGGTGGCACTATATATATATATATATATATATATATATAGACCATTTTGCAAGATGTAAACAACACTGGTCCAGAAACACTTCCTGTTTCAGTTTGTAACTGTTTTCTTTACTTCACATGTAAAGAAAAAATCTTAAAGATGTTTGTTTAACTTTTTGATTCAGTTTTATATTTTCTGTTGGTTGTATTTTATCCCAGCTTTTATGTAGTGTTAAAAAGCTGAAACAGGAAGTGCTTCTGGACCAGTTTTGTTTACATCTTGCAAAATGGTATATATATATATATATATATATATATATATATATAATATATAGCCTTTATATGGTACACTGTAACAATAGAAATTGCAAGCAATTTTGCCTTTTGCTTTTATATAAAAGGTAACATTCAGAAACATATATCAAATAAAATCCAAAGCCTATTAAAGGCTAATATATAAAAATCATTGTTAAGGCAAAAAAATAAAAATAAATAAATAATGGGGACGATGAAAGATGTTTCGACTCTTTAATATTAACCAGAGCCATGTATTCTGACATATGATATTAACGAGTCCATGAGGCAGCACACGATTGGCTGCAGCTCTGGGTCAGAGTTCGTATCCGCGTTAGCGCTGACGTTGTCCAAAGGAGGAAAATGGCGATAGGTTGCTTGTCAATGAGGGAGACCGAGACTTTTGCAACATTAACCTGCAAAAGACGGCGTGCTACAATGTTTCCCACATTGTCTGGCGGGTTCAGCAAAAGCACTTTGTTTGTTTTATCCGTGTCGTTAATGTTGCAGGTTGTTTTAGGAAATGGAAAGACTCTCGTTCTGGTGGACAATCCCAACATTAGAGACACTCATTCAATCTTCTTCCGCAGTTTAGCAGGTGAGCTACACATTGTATGATTTATATGTATTTATTTAAAAAACTTCAAATTATCACATTAACACCAGAAAATAAGTTTAATATGTTCATTTATTTGCGTTATGAGTTGAAGATGCATGCTAAAAATATGGTTGATTGAGTAACGTTAACGTTAATTTGCACCAGCATGCCTGTAACGTTACTAACACAGAAAGGTATTGTACATTTCTTAATCGTTTGAACCCATAATTACATTGTTGCTCTCAGATCGTGGGTTTGACCTTTCCTTCAAGACTGCTGATGATCCTGGTCTCTCTCTGATAAAGTATGGCCAGTTCCTCTACGACCATCTCATCATTTTCTCTCCATCAGTGGAAGGTGAAGACTGATACAGTTAACTTGAATTTCATGTCGTGCTGCCATTTTTGCTTGAATAACCATCTTATGTTTACAAATTCCCAATGGAACAGATTTTGGGGGCAACATCAACGTAGAGACCATTACGGCCTTTATTGATGGTGGAGGAAATGTTCTTGTTGCTGCCAGCTCAGATATTGGTGAGTGCTGCTGTATTGGTTTTGCAAATTTGTACACGTATTGGCCTGTCTTGATCATGTCAATGTAATCTTTTTACCACTATGACTGGCAGGTGACCCTCTGAGAGAGCTAGGTAGTGAATGTGGGATTGAATTTGATGAGGAGAAAACCGCTGTCATTGACCACCATAACTATGATGTTTCTGATCCTGGCGAGGTAAGTAATGGAAGGAGGAAAAATAAATGTACTTAACGCTCTCTTCAAGTATAATAATTGCATAATGTAATTATTCCCATAGTCTTTACTTTATCTGATGTCACCTACTGTAGGCTGTTGTTTGGCTGTATTGAGAATAAGTAACGGCTGAAGGGCATTGTAAGGCACGACACAAAGCGTTACTTATTCACGATACAGGATTTGCCTCGAGTAAGTGGCAAGTGCTTTTATAAAACAGTTACCACACAATAAAAATATTAAAGTAAAAACAAATATGTATTAGTGCGTCTTTCATGAAGTAAAATCACTAAAAGCCTTCCTTCCACTTGAAAAAAATAGTTTCACACCTTTGTTTTAAGCCTTATGTGTTTTAAAGTTGAATTCTTTATTTTTGTACAGCACACACTGATTGTTGCAGATCCAGAGAATCTTCTTAAAGCCCCAACTATAGTTGGCAAGCCCACTGATAAACCAGTCCTGTTCAAAGGTGTTGGGTAAGTGGTCTCGTGATACCCTGTTACTTGCTTATTGTAAAAAAATGTAATTAATCCAATTACAATTTATCTCTTTTCCTCAGCATGGTGGCTGACCCAGATAACTCTCTGGTGCTGGACATTCTGACAGGATCCTCTACCTCTTACTCCTATTTCCCTGATCGTCCCATCACACAGGTCAATATTTCAAAATGTGGTGCTTGAGGACAGTGCAAATCTTTTGATAAATCAATTTGCATTCACCTCAGTTCCCTTTTTGCTTTCCAGTATCCTCATGCCGTTGGAAAGAACACCCTCCTGATTGCCGGTCTGCAGGCAAGAAACAATGCGCGTGTGGTTTTCAGCGGGTCTTTGCACTTCTTCAGTGACGCTTTCTTCAACTCCCCCGTGCAGAAGGCTGCCCCTGGGTCAAAGAGGTCTGCTATGCTGCATTGCTATATATTCAGACATTAAAATATATTGTGGCATTAGGTTGAAATCCTATGTATCAGTGATCAGCCAATATGGCTAATGCTGAAATAAAGTTGATGGGCCAAAAATATATCACTCTGAAAAACATTCCTTTAAAACTGCATCTCTAAAACAAACAGAAACTTCTTGATACTTTAATGCTATTATATTATTTTTCACAAAAGAGATGTATTAAAAATATGAATAAAAAGGAAGTAAACACTGCAATCCGCAGTGCACTCAGTAATCTGATAAATCTGTGTAACAAACGGGTAGGGCTTATTTACATACAGTAAGTATAACATGAATGATTTTGCGGCCAACTGAATATAGCAGAGCATTGTTTGAAGGAAATATCTGAGTATGTCTGTTAAATTCAAAGACTTGTTTAAATGATATAGATGCATATTTGCTGAATCTGCGAATACTGTATGAGAAAGTATTACATTGTTTGCATTTTTATTACTAATAATAGAAAAGCAAATGCTGTAATTTATTTCTCACATGCCATTCATTTTCCTAATTAAGAACTGTTAAAAAAAGCAGTAAACTAAGACGGACAATCTGCCACTTTCGGCACTTATTGGGCAAACAGAAAAACTTAATTACCTGTAACAGGAAAGTGCCATGCTGAAGGTTCTCCATTTGTTTTGCTTAATACTTGTATATTCTTAGATATGACCAGACTGGTAACCAGGCCCTGGCTGAGTCCCTGTCCCGCTGGGTGTTTAAGGAGGCTGGTGTTCTGAGGGTTGGGGAGGTTACCCATCATCCAGTTGGAGAGAGCACACCCCCTGCTGCCTATACCATCACTGACCTTGTGGTGAGGCATAGCTCATATTGTTTTTGTAGGCATTATAAGTCATTTGACCAATTTGGCACTGGAAGTGTTTTCTGATTTGGGACTATGAAGCAAGCAAATATTTTGCTTGTTAATTCTGTTGAATGTTTTGCTTAGAAATGGACTAACATTCACCTTTCTTTTAAAGAAACATGGCGTGCTCAAGAAACAGAGCAATTTAATTTACTAGCATGGTCTACATTGTCTCTACAGGAATATAGCATTGTGATTGAGATGCTGTCTGGAGGAAAGTGGGTGCCCTTTGATGGAGATGACATTCAGCTGGAATTTGTCAGAATTGATCCATTTGTTAGGACCTACCTCAAGAAAAATGGTATGTTATATAAGTGCATATACACCATCATTTAAAAGTTTAGGGTCAGTAAGATATATATTTTTTTTTAAATAACTTTGTTCAGCAAGGATGCGTTCAATTGAGCAAATGTCACAGTAAATAGATTTTTAATGTTACAGAAGATTTGTATTTTAAATAAAATATGTATATACAAACTTTCTGTCCTGAAAAACAAAATCCACAAAAATGTTTAACAATGATAATAAGCAGTGTTTCTTGAGCACCAATCATAGTAATATCAGCGTATTACTATGATTTCTGAAGGAATGTGACACTGAAGACTGGAGTAATGATTACAGCCAGGATATGCAATCCTCTATTCCAGTCTCTAAAAAAACACAAACAAATATATTTATATACATATAATTTCACATTTTAACATTTTATCGATAACACAATTTCATAAATGGAAGTTTTCCTAACAATCCTAAATAAATGACATAAAATTAATTATATTAGTTATTGGCAAGCTTCATAATTGCACATAACATGAAATGCATCCAACCTGTTCTTGAAGGAATTAATAGAATGATGCTGAATATTTCACAATATTACTGCTTCGTATTTTTGATCAACTAAATGCTGCCTTGGCTGAGTGTACGAGACATCTTTCAAAAACAATCTTACTGACCCCAAACTTTTAAATGATAGTTTAATAATGAATGGCATTAAAAATATGTATGACTGCTTGTTTAGGTGGAAAATACAGTGTACAGTTCAAGCTTCCAGATGTATATGGAGTTTTCCAGTTCAAAGTTGACTACAATAGACTTGGCTACACACACCTCTACTCCTCAACCCAGGTGAGATTCAAAATTCATTATAAAACGTTCTATATATTTCAGGTTCTCAACATTTTCGCAGAGATTTACTCAAACTCTTGATATTTACAGATTTTTTTTGTGTGTGTGTGTGTTATTCCACAGGTTTCTGTTCGTCCACTGCAGCACACCCAATATGAGCGCTTTATCCCTTCTGCCTTTCCATATTATGCCAGTGCATTCTCTATGATGGCAGGACTCTTTGTCTTCAGTTTCGTCTTTCTGCATATGAGAGAAAAAGAGAAGTCGGATTAAAATGAGTACAAGAAAATGATGAAAAAAAGATGATATGCTCCAGACCTCTAGCAGTCATGAGATCTGAATTATGTTGCTATGGGCTCATTTTGGTGAGTTGGATGGTGTGCCATTACGAAAAAACAATTGTAATTTGTTCTTTGAAAGGGGGGTTGGGTAATCTGACAAATGTGTTTTTTTTTCTGGTTTGCAATTTGGTTATTTAAAATTATTTTGGGGCAGTCTTCTTTTATTTTTATAAAAGGCAACTTGAATTGGTTTTTATTATACAATGTGCACTGATGTTTCAGCTCTTGTTATGAAAAGATTGTTTTCAAATCTACCATTTGTAAAAAGAGGAATGGATGCTCAAAATGTGGTTGAAACACCTGAAGGCAGTAAAGTTTTAACATTCCACCACTACACTTTTTCTACTCTTTTCAGTTGCATCACTTTTGAAAGTGCCTGATTCTATTCATGATAGTTTTAGGAGTTCTAAATAGGTTTTACTGACTCATCTCTAAAATGTGGACTACACAGGCAAGTTTTTATTCGTGACCATTCTTAAATACATAGGATAGTATGAATGTGTGACAATAGAGTATGCAAACAACACTGTATACACAGTGTGCATAATCATTTTTTGAAATACTTCAATTGATACACTACTGTTCAAATTTTTGGGGTTGACAATTGGAGATCTTTGTTTGTTTCTGTTGTACTCAGAAAGGCTGCATTTGATCAAAAATATGAGAAACAATATTTCTATTTTAAAATCTCATTTTATCCTGAGAAGGCAAATCTAAATTTTTAGCAGCTATTCCAGTTTCAGTGGTTTCAGTGTTCTGGTTCGGTTTCACATAATCCTTCAGAAATGTCTATACATGTTTTGATTGTAATACAGTTAAGGATATTATATTTGGCTTAAAATATAAAGCTTAAAATAACTGCATTTATATATTAGATCATTATTATTATTATTTTTTACTTTTTGAAACCAAACGTTTGAGTTGTAGTGTACATCATTAACACCCTTGTTTGCATTCTCTATGGTGATAACATAAATATTTTGTTGCCCAAACTCGCCTTCACATCATTGTTTGCAAAAACAGTTCAATTTTGTGTTATCCGTATAATAAAAAAAAAAAAAAAAAAAAAAAAAAAACTTTGCACGTTTATGTAAAGACAAGGATTGATATACAAATCTACATAATCCTCTCTTGGATAAAATATTCCTCATTTGTAAGTCGCGTTGGACAAAAGTGTCTGCTAAATAAATACATCTAAATATAAGCAGTCTTCCTAGGATAGTCAGATTTGTTGGCAACAAACTGTTATATGTAATTTTAATATAAATAGGTCATTTTAACTTTTTTATTGATGAAATATCAAAACAAACAATTGAAATACATTTCAAATGGTAGGGGGAGGTATAAACAGCATTAAAGGAATACTTAAAAGAGTGCACATGCTTGTAACATAATAGCTTTTTGTTTTTTCGAGGGAAATATTGACTCAATATGATGCTTCACTTCATTTTTAAATGCAATAAAACATGTTTTTCTCCCTGAAAAATTGCATTTATGAATGTGAAATTTAGCCATAAATAATAATAATAATAAAATAAGTGTGGGGTTGCTTATCTTTGGAGTTTACAATAAAACCTAGCAGGAAGTCTAAAATTTTCATCAAAATAACCAACAATGAAATCAAGTACATTTTGCCTAAATAAAATAAATGAACAGCTGTGTCTGGCCTTTTTTAAACTTGGTTAAATAATGTTTTGCAGGGTATATTCTATGAAGGAGTTTAAAAGATAGCCTACTACTTTAACCTTGTTAAGAGATAGTGATTTGGCAGAAGCCAGACTTTTTTGATCTGTTATATTTATAATGACACGCCTATTTGACTTCTGTGTACTTTGACCGCTATTAGTTCACATTTCTTTACATTCAGATAAACGCCAAATGCTTTAGCTCTTCTATTACTTAAACTGCAATGGATTTATGGTTATATCATTTTCACTTTTAGCCAAACAAAAATGTGACATTACGTGTTTGATGAATGACGTATAATTAAACCGACATAGATTGTAGTCCTTGCGCAGCTTCCTGAATGATACAAATGTACGTTGTTTAAACAAACAGTTTGTACAAAATTCAAGTTTGAAATATGAACGCGTGTAATTTATGCTGTAGAACCAAACTCGAAAGCCTCTTCAAGTAATGATAACAAACAACAGACCTTACGAAACGAAAACCGCAAGAACTACAAATCAACGTCATCTCTCAGCTCGTGGCCTGTGAACACAACACGAGTCGGGAGCGCGCGTCAGCTGACACCCGCAGAGAGAGCAGAGCCAGACATGGATCAACTCAAAGTCAAAGACAGGATCCTCGAAAACATCTCTTTTTCCGTCAAGAAGGTAAGCAACTCTATACATGCACCGATGATATATATCGACGTTTTCTAGATCATAATTTGAAGGTTAGGTTGGGGTTTTTGATGTTTACGGTATCAAAATAGTTGGGCCTCCCTCCCTCCCCCTCTTGCTGTGTTTTGGAGAAGACAAACGTCTTGACATCATAAGAATAAAGATCAAGGGTTAAGGAATACCAGGTTAGACAGTCAGTTGACACTGCACTATATTGACTATTCTAGTTATAGTGTGTGTACTTAAAGCGTAGTTAATATCTGCTTATCACCAGTAAAATTACATGAAAGGGATAGTCATTTACAGTCAAGTAATTAATAGGACAAACCGAGCTTGCTACGTATTTTATGGGTCCATCCTAGCCTAGGTCATCCTGTCTTTTTGTTCTGTATAAACTTACTGAATGTTTGCAACGTTAGAATGTTTGTTATTTCTTTCTTTCTTGGTCTGTCTTTTGCTCCTGTGATTCAGAACTAGTGACTTACACACCCTGCCGCCTTTTTACTTAGTCATTCAGATTTTAGCTCATCAGGTGCTTGGCAGTAGTATGTTCTCAAAGATTTATGATGGACTTACGAACCATAAAGCTCCACTTTCATCAGTGAATCACATAAAACGGCAAATTCTAAAGAAAAGTTTATATTATATTTGATACATTTTTTATCTTAGGTTGTTCATCTAGAATGAAAAGGATTGCTTGGAATGTTATGGCTGTGTGTGCTTCAGAGATATACCAGACAGGACAAGCATTTTTCATCCACTTTCATGCGATCATTCTTTAACACTTTGTAGCATTTGATCCGCAGTTGCAGAGTTACTTTGCCGCCTGTGAGGATGAGACGCCAGCCATCAGAAATCACGACCGGGTTCTTCAGCGGTTGTGTGAACACCTGGATCACGCTCTGCTTTATGGGTTAGACAGACTGCACCACAGCCTTTGAAAATTCAAATACTTTTAAAGTAGACATTTGGAAGCACACAGGTCTTCTCTTTTCTCTGTGTCTTGAAGGTTGCAGGACATCTCATCAGGTTACTGGGTCCTCGTATTACACTTCACACGGCGAGAGGCTGTCAGACAGATTGACGAACTCCAGCACATAGCTACCAATCTAGGCAGAAGTAAGACCAAAACCTTTGCTGCCTATGTCTGTGATGTGCTTTATAATGGTTTATATTAGGATGCCTTGTTTCTTGTACTTAACTATGGCTGCTGTGTTGTTGTTCCACAGGTCGTGCCTGGCTCTACTTGGCACTCAGTGAAAGTTCTTTAGAAAGCTACCTCCGACTTTTTCAAGAGAATCAAGGACTGCTCCATAAATACTATTACAAGTGAGTGCCTTTGAGAAATGTATTATTGTTCTTCTGTGGTTTCAGATCATAAAAGTGATCATCAAGCAGTCATCTGATTGTTGTTGTGGTTTGTTTCCTCCTTTACAGAAATGCATTGGTTTGCAGTCATGATCATCTCACTCTGTTTCTTACACTTGTCTCTGGGCTGGAGTTCATCCGCTTTGACCTCGAACTGGTATTACTCTTCATTCATTTTCCAGTTTAGAATTCGATTAGCTGTTCCACTGTTTGTCCTAGACCTGAAGTGTCTAATAGTGTAACAACTGACTGTTCTTTACAAGCTGTTTCAAAATAGTAGTGCTGCATAACGATTAATTGCAAATAATTGTTTGCGGAATAAAAGTTTCTGTTTACATCATATATATGTGCTGTGTATAAAAAATTATGTATTTATAAATACACAAACTTGCATGTATATATTTAAAAATATTTACGTTTATATAAATTTTTATATTAAAATATACATTATATTATACGTCATTATAAAAACTCAATTTTTTTCTTAAAATTATACATGCATGTTTGTGTATTTATATATACATAATTACTATAAGCAGTACACACTTGTATATAATGTAAACAAAAACATTTTATCTATCTATCTATCTATCTATCTATCTATCTATCTATCTATCTATCTATCTATCTATCTATCTATCTATCTATCTATCTATCTATCTATCTATCTATCTAATCACCTACCTACCTACCTACCTACCTACCTACCTAGAGTTATACTGCAGGTCTATTTAAAAATATGTATCATTGTATTATTAATATCTCCATGTCCTAATAATGCTTAATCTTTTAATTTGTGACAGGATGTGCCATACCTGGATGTTGCTCCTTACATGCCGGAGTACTACAAACCTCAGAATCTGTTGGATTTTGAGGAGAGGTTGCCAAGCTCTGATAGCCTTTCTCTGCACTCTTTCACTTCCCTCACCTCCACTAACCTTGAGTGGGACGACAGTGCCATTGCCCCATCCAGTGAAGGTGAGCTGCTTGGATTCCATTCTCCATCTTTTCCTCCCACTGTGTGTTTTACAATTCCAATCTCTGTGTCTTAATTTCACACTTTTTTATATTGTCTTTCTCTTTTCTTCTTTCTTTTACAAAGTGGCATATTTCCATTGATATAATTCATTATTCTGCACCAAGATGACAGTTATCTTTAAGATTGTTTATAGTAAAGATGAGGACACTGTCAGTGAGTGCTCAATAATCTGTCATCACACATTAATGCTTTTATTTAATTCAGTGACACATTTCACAGCTTATTATGTCACAATGTCTCATTCAGTTTTTTATTAGTTCCTGTCATATGCCAAGTTTCACATACACTTTTGATCTCTTACAGTTTCTGTTCTCCTTTCATTCACTTCATAATTCTTTCCTGCCTATTGATGAGTTTTATTTTTCCTTTTTTTAGATTATGATTTTGGTGACATCTTCCCTGTGTTGCAGTCATTGCCAAGTGCAGACTGGGAAGGTGGGACATGGTTATTTCCCCCTTCCCTTATCTAACATTTGCAATCCCACACAATCCATCCTTCCAAAGCTACTAACCAGAATTGCGCATGTCTTTTTCTTTCAGTGCACGTTTGTTTCATGCGCAGAATCTGTTATGTGCATTGTGCTTGTGATGAGTTCATAGATGGGTTGCTGTTGCCTATGGTCTATTTTAGACTAAACAGAACCCAACCCTTCGCTTATGAAGGATTTTTTGGGATGGTACTAAAACATACACAGTGCCTGTTTCCATATCCTTCAATATCAACATTGTTTGTAGGATATCATTGGGCCGAATGTGAATATATATATATATATATATATATATATATATATATATATATTTTTTTTTTTTTAAATATAAAGATTTTCTTTATCTAAATAGAAAACGTAGAAAGTACCGAGATATATATCGTATATCGCCATTTGACCAAAAAATATCGAGATATGATTTTTTGGCCATATCGCCCAGCCCTAGCCTGATGCATCTGAAACTCGCTGTCTGGTGACGGATTGGGTTTTCTGCCATTACACCTGCAGCAGTGTGGCAGCTGGTTTGCATGTTTGCTGCTTGGATTTTAACCAACTGCTTCCAATCCTAAGCTTTAAATTCTATGTCATGACTATATCAGTCATGACTTAATGATTATGAAATGCTGTCAAATAGCAGTCTTGTAAATGTAGACCAAGTCTTTGCTTGCATGATGTTAAATTATTTGTTAGTATGTAACTTTTTAATATACTAATAGTTTAATTCATTCTATTTAATGGAGATACTACACTAAAGTAAGCAGTTTTAACATCGAAATTATATTTCATCCTTTTTCTCAAATAAACAATTAGAATAGTCAGAACCATTGCTAGAGCTCCAGCACACATGTGTACTGCAATATATTTTGGTATAAGGCAAATATCAGCAAATTAACGGTCAAAAAAGTGATTTAATAATTTGCACTATTTGTGATTATTTTCCCATAATTTTTAGATAAATAAAAGGATGAGATGGAAGTAGCTGGAAAGCTAAGTTTTTCTAAACAACTTATGTTTGTTGTATGTCTCTGTGCTTTCGTCATGATTCAGTAGCTGTTTATCCTCCCTAATATGGGTTACGAATACCTGCATGTCTAAGATGGTTTCGCTTCATGTTGTTTTCTGACAGAGGGAGACTTAACCGATCCAGTCAGTGGGCCCCGTTCCTCAGGATCGGACCCTCAGACTGTTGTCAGTGACTGTGTGGTGATCAGAGCCTCCGCACGCACCATCAAGACGTCTCTGTCGCGAAGCCCTACGTTTCGGCACAATCCCTTCAAAGAGGACTCGGACACTAACACTTCTGCTGATGTCACCCCTGTGCACATGGCTAGCCGTCATGCTTCCACAACAGGAGAAGATGCTGAGATCACCAGCACTGAGCTGGAAGTCATAAGGTGTGTCTTGAGCATTAGAAATAATGGTGTAGGATTACAGTAGTGGCTATTACCGATTATTAGTTGAAAGGGTTGTGTCCGTAAAACAGTGAACCATTTATAGACTAACTTGAGAAGTCAAATAAGTCTGTAATGTTCAGATCTGTTTGATAGGGGTGGGCGATATGACCAAGATCTTAAATCACTATATAAATACGTTTATTTTACGATAATGATATAGTTATTTTTTTAATATAAAATTGACACAAAGCCCATCACAAGATCATACATCTATGGTGTCCCCAGGATGTGTGAAATTTCAGCTCAAATTATCCCCCAGATCATTTATTATAGCTTGTCAAAGGTACCCTTTTTTTTGGGTGTGACAAAAATCGCACCGTTTTTGTGTGTGTCCCTTTAAATGTAAATGAGCTGCTGCTCCACGCCTCTGTTCAGGAGACGGCCGATTCTTTACACAAGCTTCGGATAGTCCAGCAATAACAAACGCGAATTTTAGTCAAATCTCAGAAATTACCCTACCCGTAGCGGAATGCAGCCTTACAGAGAGACTCAGGAATACATGGATGTAGTTGCTGTGGCGTTACATTGATAAATCTAATCTTCTTTCATGTACTGCCATGTTTAACTTGACAGTTCCCTGAGGTCTTTTTAGCTTGTCTGTGCAGCATTGACAGAACAGTTTGCATGCTTTGTTCCAACTGTTGCCATTGCGTTAGAACTGGTTACACTGTTGTAAACCAAATGGGGGGTGCCGTGGGGGGAAACGTGCAGATTAAGGGGCAGTAATATTATAATATTATCTGGCTGGCCCAAAAGTAATGACATTGTTAAAACAGTCGTCCACTGTAGTCACTCTGACTATTTTAACAACGTCTTTCATAACGTTTGGGCCGGCCAGATATTATTATAATAATACCGCCCCTTAATCTGCATGTTTTTATCCCTTAAGAAGCTTATGGAGGAGTGATCCAGCTCTCAGATTTAATCAAAAATATCTTAATTTGTGTTCGGAAGATGAACGAAAGTCTTACGGGGTTGGAACAACATTAAGGCGAGTAATTACAGACAGAATTTAGTTTTTTGGATGAACTATCCCTTTTAAGACCTTCCAAAAAAGCTGGCAAAACATCTTTAATTTAATGAAATTTTTACAATTTTATGTTGCTTGCTAAAAAAATTAATCTTAATGGATACTTTTGAATGGATGTCAATTGAAAAGGATTTTTGCAATATTTGGTACCACTTCACCTTTAAACTCCACTTAAAGATAGTGGTGTTGTTTCTTATTTTACAATGACACTATGCTAAAAAAAGGTTTGTCATTGGTTTGTTTTGTTTTCATAAATATATCTTTGTGCGACAGAATGGCAAGGCGCAGAAGGCCCGGTAAGAAACGACGGGGAAGAGGGTCGACAGACTCTGTGAGCAGTGAGCAGAATATCATCTCTCCTGACACTGAGGAAAGCCTTCAGAAAGTGGATGAGAGAGACATTATAGTAGACGAGCGTAATGTGGACAGTCCGGGTCCTCTGGAGGGGCCAGACGATCCTGGGCCCGAGTGCATGACGAATGGGAGACAAGGAGACGACGAAGACCTGGAGGCAGGACTGAGGCTCCCTCAAATGACGGACACTTCTATGGACAGTGTGGGCCAACCCCTCCGGGATGTAATGGACAGGCTGAACGGTTCTCTGGATGGAGAAAGCTGGCAACCACCTGAAGGTGAGGAGGGAATATGCACTAGTCACGATGAACCCCCCCATCAGCAGCCCTTTCGAGAGGACTCGGGCGGTGAACCTCCGGACCCAAGCCGTAGCTTCCTGCAGGCCCCCCTGCCACCTGCAGACTTTTACTGCTTTACCTCCCAGAGTCCAGACCCTGCTTCCTCGTGTGGTGGGCACAATGACTCTGCAGGGAATGGCATGCCGCAGGATGTTTCTGTTGGCGATGAAGATGAGGGAGAAGCAGAGACAACAGGTGCAGGGCAGGATCCCTCCATCCCCATAGAGACGTCAGCTCAGGAGAAACGGAGTAAAGCAGAAGAAGAGCAGGAGGAGGATAAAGACTGTTCAATACAGAGCTCCCATGCTGCAGAGTTTAAGTGAGATTGCAAACTGTGGTTATCTTTTATCCTATGAGATTTTAGGCTTAGAAATAGCTCTAATAATGACACAATATGCGATTTATTATGAGGTTAAGTTATTTGTTTTTGTTTGTTTGTACAGGGTGGATAATAATCACCTGCTGCTGCTCATGATTCATGTTTTCAGGGAGAATGAAGAACAGCTCTTTAAGGTAAAACTATATTCAATTTAATTTATATCACTATATGGATACCTATGTATTTACAATTTTACATTGTTTCCAAGCTGCAGCTTACTAGTGCAAGAATTCTTGGCCACATTTCCTCATTTTTCCAATTTACTAAAACATTTTATGACATTTATGACCCCCAGAGTCAGAGGGAAAAATCAAAAAAGGTATATACACACATATATAATATATACACACTGCCGTTCAAAACTTTGTGTCGGTAAGAGTTTTTGAAAGTCTCCTATGCTCATTTATTTGAGCAAAACACAGTAATGTGAAATATTATTACAATTTAAGAGAACCGTTATCTGTTTTAATGTATTTTAAAATGTCATTTGTTCCTGTGATGATAAAGCTGAATTGAATCAGCATCATTTCTTCAGTCTTCAGTGTCACATGATCCTTCAGAAATAATAATAATTTTTGGATATATATAATATTGTTCAAGAAGCATTTTTTTCTTATTATGTTGAAATTGTTGTGCTGCTTAATATTTTTGTGGAACATGATCAGGATTTTTTGATGAATAGAAAGATTAAAAAGATTTTTCCTTGGAAAGTTATAAATGTCTTTACTGTCACATTTCATCAATTTAATGTGCCCTCTTTGGACAAAAAAGTAATTAAAAGTAATTTATTTAAAAAAAAAAAATTGTACATGCACAATGGTTAATGGAAACATTTGGGTATGACATAAACATACAATTATGAATCATGCATGAGTAAGTATGCTGCTTGAAACATCTCATTTCTGAAATAAGAGATTCCTGAAATAAATAATACAAGTAAACAAGGCCCTACTACAAATAAAATGGACCTACCTGTAATTAAACATGTTGTTTTATGCTTCTATTATATTAATGTGTAATATGAAGAACACGGACCTTCTAATGAAATGTAAAACAGTGCTGTCCTATTGATTTTGCATTTGTACATTTATTTCAGATGGTGAGAATGAGCACAGGCCACATGGAAGGAGATTTGCAGCCTCTGTATCTGCTGTTGACAGACTGCTACATTTACCTCTTGCGTAAAGGTCAGCAAACTTTCATTGAAAGACCAGGACATTGTTAGGGACATCTGCAAAAGCACTTGTTTGCATTTGTTGTTGTGTCCCATTGATTTTCAGGGGCAGCAGAGAAGCCTTATAGTGTTGAGGAGGCAGTGTCTTATAATGAGCTTGACTACATCTCTGTGAGTAAACAGTCTGAAGCCTAAATCGCCTTGCTTTGCTTTTGGCTTGCTTTGGGCTTGCTCAGTTGGGATTATTTAGTGTTTAGCAATGTTGTTGATCCTGTGTTGTGCTACTTTCATGTTATCATTGTGAAGCTGCTTTGATACAATCTGTATTGTGAAAAGCGCTATATAAATAAATGTGACTTGACTTGACTTAAATGATCAGTTTGACATGCTGCAGAGAGATAAGAGCCCTTGCTTGTGCCTTAGGTGGGATTTCACCAGCAGACTATCACTCTGGTGTGCACTAACAGAAGACGGCAGTTCCTGCTGGACACAGCCGACTCATCTTTGACTGTGTGAGTTTTTTTAATTGAAGCATACATGTGAGATTAATTAGTATGCATGTCTTCGAAGAGTATCATCTCTTGTTCTCTCCTCAGCTGGTTTCTGGCTGTGCTAAAGGCAGCCATGGAAAACGGCTGTAGGGATCCTCCCTACCCCTCTGTTCTCACTGACGCCACCATGGAGAAACTTGCTCTTTCTAAGTTTGTATGCCAAGAGACACACTGTGAGGTAAATAGAGAATATTTATCATCCTGAATAATGCATGAGAGTCTGGCAGACTTTAGTTGCTATAACAATTAAAGCATTTATAATGATCATACAGTTTAGACCAGTGGTTCTCAACTAGGTGGCCTCTGCAAACAGGGGGATGCAGGATGACTTAAAATGAATATATATATATATATATAGAATTGATGTTCTAAGTTTTATTTGCATTTAAATAGTCTAATTTAATTATAATTCAAATTTAAATTCAACCAAGAATGAATGAATGAATTAAATTAATTTATTTATTATAGTTTTTGTTTGTTTCCCAGTTTCTCTTTATTAATGAAAAAATCACAATAAGCAGCTTTGTAATAATTCTAGCATTTTTGGGCTGATGATTTTTAAGAGAGGCAATTTGAGCTTGAATTATAATGATTTATTATTACACAATACATTTACACTTTAAAGCATGAATTATTACATTTCAAAGAGAAAATAATTAATTTAGCATCTCACACTTTTTTCAATTTAAAAATAACGTCGTTAAACATAATCTATGTGCAAATTACCTGTTTTTAAAAGATATATCAAAAGTACAACAAATAGTTAATTGCTTGGACTTGCTGATGTTGTGCTAACTGTGTTTGTGTAGTTGTCGGAGATGAGCATCCGGCTGTATTCTCTGGTTCACTGGGAGGATCCCATGGATGTGACAGTGGCTTCACCTACATCTCCATCCAGATCAAAAGAATCCAGCAGCACTAAAGAGGGCCCACTGTTATACCGGGCTGGGAACTCTTACTTGGGAAAGGAAGTGTGGAAAAGCTGTTACTTGGTTCTCAGGTACAAAAGGGTTTGGTGCTTTAAACTATTTGACAGTGTTTCAGCAAGCTTTTCATGTGTACTGAATCTTAATCTACTGTTCACCTGGCAGCAAAGGCATCCTGTATCAGTATGCAGAGAGAACTGATGTTACACCTTTGATGTCTGTTACCATGGGGTAAGCTTCCTCTGTACTTCCAGCAGTGCTGGCTAGATTACTTACAAATTGTAGTCGGTTACTGATTCCGGTTCTAATTCCATTCATCCATTTGTTTTATGATTTAGCTTTTTGATTAATTTTAAAATAAAATATTCAAAATTGTATTTATTATTATTATTATTACTTTTGTTTTGACTTAATTTTATAGTGACCTAACTTATTACCTTAATATCTCAGGGGATGCCTCAAGTAAATATCAAGTCATGTAAACGGACAAAAATAGTTGGGAAATCCCTGCTTTGTATGCGCAAATATGTCTTTTAATGTAAATTTGAATGTTTTTAAAAGACAAAAGCCTTCCAATGACAGTCATAAATTGGTAAATGACTCACTGAGTGATAATTTAAAAAATCGTTAATGTGTTAGTCATGAACTTATAAGATATGCAATGTTGAGAACACTTTTTAAAAGTGAACTGATTTCTGTAAATCCAGTGATCAAAAGCTGTGTGGGTCTCAGGTTTTCTGTGGTAGGCTCATGACTAGTGGCTGGTCTGTGGGAGCACTTCCACAAACCTGGAACTCCTTCTGAACGAACAGTGGTGGGCAAAATTATTAGAACTGTAAGATTTATTTAATGTTTTATTTAATCTTATGCTCAACAAGTCTTCATTTATTTGATCCAAAATACAGCAAAAACAGTAATTGTGAAATATTTTTACAATTTAAATAATTGTTTTGTATTTGAATATAATTTAAAATGCAGATTTTAAAGATTAAAGGTAAAGATGAATTTTCAGGATCATTACTCCATTCTTTAGTGTCACATGATCCTTAAGAAATCATTATAATATGATGAATTGATGCTCAATAAACATTTATTATTATTATCAATATTAAATGCAGTTGTGTAGATGTTTTCAGGATTATTTATCTGAAATGGAAAGCTTTTATAACATCATCATTACTGTTCAAAAGCTTTGGTCAGTAAGTCAGTAAGAGGTTTTTTTTGGAAAGAAACAAATAATTTCAGCAATGATGCATTAAATTGATCAAAGTGACAGTATAGACATTTATCATGTTGCAAAACCTTTCGGTTTCAGATAAATGTTCTTTTGAACTTAAAAGTTTGGGGTCAGTAAGAGTTTTTTGTTTTTTTGGAAAGAAATGAAAGAAATTAATAAAAAAAAATTTTTTTACACAACTGCTTTCAACATTGATAATAATAATAAATGTTTCTTGAGCAGCAAATCGGCATATTACTGTTTTTTGCTGTATTTTGGATCAAATAAATGAAGCCTTGGTGAGCAGAAGATATTCTTTTAAAACATTAAAAAAAATACCGTTCTAATAATTTTGGCCACCACTGTAAATAGTAGGATTTTTTTTAGAAAGGAAAATGTAAAAAAATAAAAATGTAGTAGGGAGAATCATTGAATTATAAATAAATACTGCCAATGTAATCGATTAAAAAAAGTAACTGTAGTCTGATTACAAGTATTTCCAGTTCATAATTTCACTCTTGGCAGCTTAATATAAAAATCAATATGAAAGAAAGAAATGATGTATCAATATGAAACATGGCCACTGTTTCTGCCGTAGGGGAGGGCACTGTGGAGGCTGCAGGCGTTCAAACAGCACAGAGAAGCCTCATGCATTTCAGGTGATTCTGACGGATCATCCTCCATTAGAGCTCAGTGCAGAAAACGAATTGGAAATGGCTGACTGGATGCAGCTTTTCTGCCAGTCTGTCTCTAAAGGGGTGAGCCACCATCACACACACACACACACACATTAACCTTTTTTCTGAATGCAATTTCCCTGAAGTTCTTGACTTACTTAGTTCTTGAAGATCTCATTGCATTTTTTGGGAAGTGTGACTAAATGCAACAGTTCTTTCCATTCATGCATTTGCATTCGAAATGCTTTCAGATTCGCCACATGACAATGTCTTATTGTTCCTCAACAGTTCCAGACATGCCAACATTTGCATTCTAGTTAATGTTGTAGATGTTTTCTTAGTCAAGCCTGAGAGAATTAACCAGAATTCCCCAGATCTTGACCAAAACATTTTGTATGTTTTTGTTTCTCAGATTATTCCACAAGGAGTAGCTCCTGCACCCTGTATTCCATGTTGCCTTGTGCTCACAGACAGGAAGTTGCTCACGTGTCACCAGGATTGCCAGACCAGTTTTTTCCGTTCTCTAGGAGGAGCTGATCTGAACGATGTCACAGCTGTTTGCCTGGAGGACGATAAAGAATACTGTGTCATTGTAAGTCTTTGTGCAGATTGTAGTGCGTAAGATGTCTCTGTGAACAGATGTTTGCTGTTTGTAGTTTTACATCTACAAATAGGGTGTTCCTTAGATCTTTTTTGTTGTCGTTGTACTGTTTGAGGAAATGTGTTCTTGTCATTATGAATGACATTAGTTTATGAATGCGAAAGCTTGTAATTCACTGTCTTATTTTAACTTGTGCACTCCTCACCCTTTGTGTCTCTCTGCAGGAATTTGCAGAAGACCGTGCTCACTTTCTCCCTCCATGGGTTTTGTATTTTAGCGGATGTGAGGAGCGAGATCGGCTACTTGCAGAATTGAGCCAAGCTTGGACCACTGTTTACCAGGTGAACAAACCACAAACATATTTGCAAAGGTTTTTCTATTTCAAATAAATCCTGAAATATTAAGCAGCACAACTGTTTTCAACATTGATGATAATCAGAAAAGGTTACATTTCGAACATCAAATCCGCTTAGAATGATTTCTGAATGATCAAGACTGGAGTAATCATGCTGAATTTATTTAAATATTATTTACTTATATATTTATTTAATTAACAGCCTGCATTTTTACATATGTTTGTCCAGGTGACTCTTCCTCGTAAACCGGTGTTAGACCCGTCGGTGCAGAAGAGGTGCAGGGAGGCGCTGGAGCTGATGAAGAGTGCCTGGCAGAGGAGTGACAGCCTTCACAGAGGTCGATCAGAGAGAGAACCATGGTGCTGACGACCTCTACATCACTACAGTGAGCCCCAGGATTGGATAGGACAACATTGGGAAGTCAGCTCACCAGCAAACCTACCGTTTATGTAGGTACAAGCGGACTCGGTGAGCTCTCCAGACCAAAGACAATATTGAACAAAGTGGGCTCAGATAAAATCAAGCTACTGATAAAAAATCCTGACCTCGTTTACACTTGCCTTGCACAGATATTTAAGGAGTTAAGATAAAGGCTTTAGCTTTTACAAGTGGAAGTCTGCTACAGGAAATCAAAAAGACACTCTTGAGATCTAGTAGTTCTCTACCATTACATGCTTTTGGACTATAAATAGTGTAAATGCATAGTCAAAGTTTTCTTTTTTTTTCTAAACACACCTTTCTTCCTTGTATAAAGTTTATGGACAGATACTGTTCATGCCTGTACTGTATAAAGAGGTACAAACTGCTTTGTGAGCACTTGCGGAAGAGAATTTTAGTAATGTTTACACCTGATATTATTTGGCTGCTTTAAAATAACCATTTGAACGTATTACGGTTTGCATGACAGCTTGGCACAGAGACTCAAAACAGAGAGAAAGAAATAGGAGAAATTGGTCTGGATTTCATTTAGTTATCTAATATCAATCAGAACTGCTAACACTGGTGAGGTACCAGAATGTCAATGCTGTTAAAATGGACTGAAGTAATTTGTTAGAATCAGGTGGTATTGAGATACTGTATTAGGGATCATACAATTCTATTATGTCATTTTAAGTTATTGAGGCTAAGTGACAAAGTTTAAAAGTGAAGGAGTCAATTACAGCTGAGTTGCACAAGGTTCAGAATTACACGTTTGTTGGTGTTCTGTTTGTACTTTTGGTACTCGTGTTGAAAGATAGGTTTGAAAGATTTTTTCTTTTTTTATAATGCCATTAAAAGGATTTACGATCATACATAAGCATTCACAGCACAACTTTATCGGGTTTGAGAAAAAAATATTTATTTTTTATTTTCACTCGCAATTCAATACAGTCAATCAGGCTTTTGGTAAAGTCACACTCTTCGAAAGGTGTTGTCAGGTTGTTTTTTTTGTGTGTGAGTGTTTTTACTGATTTAACACCGATCATCTATTGCTGTGTTAGCTTAAATATCAAAGCCATTCCCAGTTCCGTACTTTAAATATAATATACTATTTCCAGTGACACACTGTAAACTTGTTTTAAGAATGTAGAGTGGTTTTAAAGAAAGCAAACTTGAGTAAACTTGAGTATGTGGATCTTTGCCTGACTGTGATGAATGGAAACAGAAGCAGAATCTCAGGTATGTTGAAGTTTGTTCCAGTCAACCGTGATTTTAACTAGTACATTGCTGGACAATGATGGAATACAGTTGTTCATTAACAATTGAAATGTGGTTTATTTTTTAGTTTTTTTTTTTTTTACATTTTTTTTAACTTTCAGTTCTTTTTTATTTTTTTATGGGAGTGACCAACAGTAGTCAGTTATGTTGTTCTAACACTCTGTCTCAAATACACTAAATGCTGCATGTACATTTTGGAAGATGTCATTAATATGATAACAAATATAAATAAAAATGACTTTTTTAATGGAAAAAAGTATGAATAACAAAATATCTGCATTTGTAGTGACCATTAATGTTTTGAAAGGGGTGAAATGCTCTGAGAAATTAGAATAATTCCAAAAATAAGACGAACGATTACAACAGTGGTATTTAAATAAAGTAAAGCAGGTGTCATGGCACCATCTAATGGCGAAACGTAATGAACTACTCAGATTTAGAGTGACATTATTTGCATGCATTTAATTCCCGCCAAAATTGGAACAATAGAACTAAAGTCCTCTTGTTGCTTCTTGCATTCGTTTCCTACATGCAAAAACACTTTATCCAATCAATGTGCAAAAGCCTACAGACAAGGGCAATTAAACAACCAAGGTTAGTTCACAATAAAGTAACCAAATTCTAGCGTAACTTCAGTCATTCCTCTTTCCAAGGAACCCCTTTAATCTCTAGTGCTGCTTTCTTGTATATAGATCCAGTGGTGGTGAGAAAGCATCTGGAAAAAAAAGATATTTTTGATATAAAAATGTTGAGTCTGTTTCAATCTATGTTCTGACTTTCCTCTTGTTTGGTGGTAAATTTCTGCAGTCAGGTGGCATTGCTTTTTTCCAGTTACCCTTGCTTCTCTGCACTTCACATCAATGAACAGAAGGTGCTCAAACCTTCCTCCCTCTCCCTTTATCTGCCCAACCCCTTCTCTTTATTTCTCTCCTCCCTCTGTCTGCTCTGCCGCAGTAACATCAAAATATGAATGCGCCACAGAGATTGGGGGGATGGGGGTATATGAAGCAAAAAGGATCACATGCCACAAATGGAGGTTTTCTTTTTCAGTCATTTGTCCATTTGTAGTTTATTTATTCTCTCACAAAAACCCTCTTGCACTTGAATAATGAGAAATCTAAGCTATTTGTGGCTCTCAGCCAAGCATGCAGCACTTAAGACAGACCCAAGTCTGCAAATATCATCTAAACAGCTAATGGCAGAGTTTAATTGCTGTTAAGCGCTAATGATTAGTGCAAGTCATGAATATACACAATGCATATAGTGAATATGCAACTAAAGCTGGGAGCCTTTTATCCAATGTGAAATTTTACCTATTGAAGTGATTTAGACTGTCATGGTTTGTCCTTCCAATAGATAATTTACCCCTTTTGGCAACAAGATTTATGTACCCTCTGAAACAGAAATCAGCGCATATATAGCATGTCTGAAACTGGATTTATGTGCAGTTCTTGCTCATCACCTGAGTCTCAAGTGATTTAAGTAACAATGTTAGCATAGTACAGTACAATCTATCTTCAATAGGAAGCAATTCAAAGTGTGTTTACATGTCTTTCCTTGCTGAAGATAAAAGAAAACAAGTGGCTCGTATTCCAGGAGTTACGGTAAGTGTCCCTCTGGAGTGGTGAAGAGACAGGGATGCAGTGAATGAGAGAGAGAGAGAGAGAGAGAGAGAGTGCTGCAGACCCACTTCTGCCCTGGTTTGGTCTCATCCGCTTATAGAGGCACTTAATGCATTTCCTCTGTCTCCTCTCCTGCAGCTCTTCTACAGGGAATGCACTTACAGTTTTATCTCAAATTTTATTTGTGTGCATAATTTATTGGACACTGATGTTCTGCAGGATTGTCTGGAGCGTGGGACTGTACATACATCAGTTCTACTGAAGCTCTGAATGGGAGTTAAACGACATAGTCTCTGCCAGCTTCACCTCAGCATCTGGTTGTGACTGTGTGGGATTCTCATGCTGAAGAAGAGGAACCCTGAGGTGCTGATGGACCAGGAGGTGCTGCTGGATCTGGACTACAGCGGCGAGACCCATGGTCCAGACAGTTATGGAAGCCTGCAAAATGGGGGCTTCATCCCTCCCAGATATGTGAGTGTACAGATCTGTGTCTTGTAACTTGATGTTCTGATGCATACTGTATAAGATACATTTAGTCCTAGTTTCTGTGTGTATATCTCCAAACTCATTGCAGAGCTGTTTTTTGAGTTAAAATTGCTGTCTAATTAGCATATGGTGTTGCTAAAAACCTGATGGTTTTCCTGGAGTTTTTAGTTACTTCAAGATATCGAGACCTAAAAAGTACCTAAAAATTACCATAACTCTTCTTGATAATGGGTTAAATCTTCCTTATCTTTTTTGCCTGTCTTATTTATTTGTCTGATAACACAGACAGTATAGTTTAGTTTTGTAATTATTGACATTTAAATAACACTTAGTTCCTGTACTTGAATTTGACTGGAAAAGCAGCAGTCCAACCGCATCGGGACTTTTCACTTTGTATCACTAAGCTTGTCTGTGTTTGAGCATGCCAGACAGATTGTCAGTTTCAGCGACGACTCCTGTAGTTTACATCTTTACACCAATAGGTGGCGTAGGGTGACCCTGAGTGAGTCATTCAAACCATTCACTCAACCGATTTGTTCAAAAACACTGACTCATTAAAGGGATAGTTCACCCAAAATGAAAATTCTGTGAGTTCACGTAGTGTAAGTGTGCGGCGCTTCTGTGTTGTACGTTACAAAAAGGCTCACTCTTGGCCAACGCTGGTCATGTGATGTACAACCCAGCACAAAAAGTACTTTTTTAGCACAAAAAGTATTCTCGTCGCTTGATAAACTTACGATTTGGACGCTGTAGTCACTCTGACTATTTTAGTGATGTCTTTAATAACTTTTCTGGTCCGGCAAGTTTAAATTCATTAGAAGCCTATGGAGGAGTGATCCAGCTCTCAGATTTAATAAAAAATATCTTAATATGTGTTTTGAGTGAAGATGAACGAAAGTTACGGAATTGGAACTAAATGAGGGTGAGTAATTACTGACAGAATTTAAATTTTGGGGTGAATTAGCCCTTTAAGCTAATGAAACACCACTACTGTGGCTCTCCACGTAATTCTTAACACACTCTTCTAGTTATTTACATATAGCAGCAAATGAATCTGAAATCTGTCACGCATTCACAGAAAATCGCTTACTTCGGTGTTGCAAAATAAGGTAGATAATCTATCTTTATAAGGCCAAAGTGATAAAAGCAACAGCCTATATTATTCTGAATTCAACCCATGTCTTGCTCATAGATGTGAAAAACTGTTCGCAAAACTATTTTCTTTGCAGACAAAATATAATACAAAATATAACGAATATATAACTTAACTTAAACTGTCCATGTATTATAGGACTTTCAAACTCATTTGATTGCTGTTCTTCTCACACTACACAACTTATCACTGATGTAATTTCCAGGCAAAACACATTTCATACTACAGGACGATCTAGATATTTCATGCCACACTATTTTCACCCTGACTTTGATACTGTCTAACAGTTAATGGAGTTTGTTGACAAAATGCTTGAATCAGAGGCAAATCAGTGCTTGTGAGTGATGTTTGCTTCAGTATATGTACATTTTCAATGACACAATCTGAGAAATGTCATGAATGCCAAAGAGATATTTAGCAGGTTATGCCGCCCACAAGCTACACGACTTCAGCCTTGATTTTCCACTCATCGACAGTAAAAGCCCAAAATCCCAACCCCCACGCATAGTTAAATGGCTTCACGAACAAGAAATATGTAGGACGTGGCTTGATATATTCCAGTGGGAATTTATTGTATTGTTATCGTTTGCTATTATTGCTGTGACCTCGTGCCAGTAAAACGTCATCAGAGAAGAGAAGAGATGTCGCTGAAAGAGGGAGGGGAAGTGATTTTGATTTCATGGTGACATTTAATTCACACTCAGTGATTTGTCCCAAGCATCGTTTGGGCTTTTATTGGTGATCTCCATTAACTGTCTGTCGGCAGTGGAAAATTAGGGCTTAAATTGTGCAGTGCAAAAGCAAAATAATGCTGAAATATGATGATGATGATGATGATAAAAAAAATAATACAGAAAAAGGATGGAACAATAGCTCTTTTGCTCTTATAATGTTTATTAAATAGCTATTTTCATGTCAACATAGTTGAATACTGCAGTTAATGAAGATGATGACCCCATATACGTTCATTGTGAGCGAGCAGCAAGCCCACCTGTTCAGCCCCCAGGCAACTACTTCAGAGATGGCCAAGCAAAAATAGGTAATGGTTTGGTGAAAGTGCTATAAATTTACCGACCACTTTGCTTAATATGTAATCATATTAACCCTGGTCGCTCTTGCCTCAGATTTTGTGCTGGTGTGGGAGGTGAAGGTGCGCCGCAAGCGTCGAAGTCGGGGACGTTCACAAGGAGAGGCGGCGGAGGAGGCGGTTGAAGCAGCACAGGAGGAGAGCAGGTCAGAGAGAAGAAAAGCTCAGCTGGCCCGATGGAGGGACAAATTCATTCAGAACCTTCAGAGTGCTGGACTATTGATGGAAAAGGTTCGGCTGTTAGGTCCATTTTCTTAGTACATTGCCATTCATGCAACTAACTACCATCTTTCTAATGGTTTTCTCTTTATTATTAGGAGGAATCATCCAGTGTAAAGAAGACTATACACTATCTGAAGCTCCATGCTCCATGGGATGTGTTGGTGTACTATGCTGAGGAGTTATGTCTTAGAGCGCCTCTGCAGGTCAGATCCGTTTTCATGTTCACCTCCCTACTGAGCTCTCAATGCAAATACAGAGGGCTCAAAATAGCACTAGAATAAATGAATTCTGAGCTCTGAAATGAGGTGTACTTGCTCATTGACAGGCACAGCCTAACCCAGACTTCAACACTTCTGCTCAAGTTCTTCAGAAACTCTGGGTGCCGAACATCATGAAAGAATCGGTCCCCAACCGTCCCGTGGACTACTATACGTGTGCCTTCCGCAAGTCCAAAATGGAAAAGTTATGCTCTGCTTCTATATGTGAACAAAACGATTATCCACTTGCAGAAACAGATTTGTAAATGTAGGCATTTACCAAGGCTTCCTGTTTTGTTAGGTTTCTGGGCTCAGATGATCGGGAAAACTACTTCACCAATACACAAAGACATCGCATTGTGAGTGTGAAAAAAACAGAAACTGTGTATCAGATGGTATATTACATTGTTATTAAGTACATTACCAT